TCACCACTTCAGTCCCTTTCCCGTGCTCGGCCTGTGCCAGGCTCGGCTTCTGAATTAGATAACCGAAAAGCTGCCAGAAACTCAGCACTTTCAGAAAGCAGCAGAGAAAACCAGGTTTTCTGGATGGCCATGACGATCCAGGACCAAATTTAGCACCGGCCAAGATGTTCACGTTTGCAATCCCATGTGCTGGAAGCCAGGTTACCACAACAGAATGTCAAATTCGAAGACAGAATCCTCGTTATGACAGGAGAGAAGAAAGAGGAGGAGGAGGAAGAAAAGGAAGAGAAAGAGGAAGAGGAAGGAGGACGAGGTAGAGGAGAAAGGAAGGGAAAGAGAGAGGAGAAAAGTCACCACCGCCATCAGAAAAGCTGTCCCCTCTAATCAAAAAAGCACAGTGCTCATCTGAAACAACCTACCGAGACGCTACCTGTGGTTTCTTAATTTTCTACAGTGAATTCGGGTATTAATAAAAGAAACTTCGAGACCTCCAATAGCAAAGGCGATCAGGATGAGATGTTGCTTGTTGTTCTTCTAGCACTCAAAGACAAAGCCCACCTTAGGGAGGCAACTTCTGCTGAATTGAGCAACCAGAATTTTGGGCCACCCAGAAAAGACTGAGGGATTCTTTAAATAAATCCTCAACACCTGTTTCTAGCTCCTTCTATAGAAAAGGACCCCAGACATGGGTTCTGATGAAGTGGAGAAACAGATGGAATGGGGTCACCCACTGATTAGACTTGTAAGGGTCCAGGAAGCTGGCCGATTCTTTGGTGTTTTATCCCTAGAGCTGCTACTAGAAATCTCCCCTCACCCCACGTCCCCCACGTCTCCCACCTCTCCCTGTCCTCCCCCTCCCACAGCCCCCACCTAATGCCAACCAGTCCTGTGGGCCTGGAGCAGGCCGAGCCCAAGCCCAGGCCGCTCGCGCTCCCTGCCCTGGCAGTGATTCTCTTACGGTGAAGTTTCCAAAGTTAGGATTCCGCCAACAGGGCTGATGGCTTATTTACTGCTGTCATCTACAGAAAGAGGAATTTTGACACATTGTTAAATGATAGCACATTTAGATAAGTCAAGCTGTCAGAGGCTCTAATGGATGTCTAAACTCTCTGTGGCTGATATGTAAAATTTATGCACTTCAGAATATCATAAGGTTATAATATTTTAATCACATCCACGCTCTTTTCTAAACTTTGAGCAGGGAAAAAACATTCCATCAAGCCCCATCTCCTGTGCGCCAAGAAACTGAGCCTGCCCAGGAATTTCTCCAAACTCCTTACAGAAGTCAAGCCTATCTCACCAGCCCTGTCAGTCTCCCTCCTTAAAGGCTCACACCTCAAGCATGATTTGCGCCTCTTCCTCCAAAACTCACACAATGTGATGCCTCCAGCCAACCTCCTTCCTCCCAAGGAACAGACATGCATTGGGACCAGGCGCCCTCATTTTGATTGGACATCCGCAACTCACGTTAGCTTGATTAACCCTCTTCAAGGGAAAAAAGAGACTGGACCCAGAGCATCAAAATAAAGTGGCAAAGTAAAGCAGAAAAAAAGTCATAAATGTATGAATCCAGTTACGATGATTATACACAGAAAAGTCATAAAAAATACTGCATTTAGTAATGTTCACCATAAAGCAATCTTATAACCAAATGAAATATGTCCAGCATTATCTTTGGGATGGAATTTTATTTCTTCTCATTTCCTGGACTGTTAGCAGCAGAGCAAAAGGAAGAAAAGGAAGAGGGGAAGCAGTTGCAGGGGTCCTGGAAGAGGGTGCCATGTGTCAGGGGGTCTTCGCCATCAGCCCACAAGTCATTAAGTCTGCTGACTCACTTCCATCCTAGGAAAATAGCCCTATTGTGTTCAGAGATCATGCTAGAAGGAATAATAACTGGACTGCTTCCATGTTTGAAAAATATATACTTCCAGAGGACTGTACGCTGGGCTAGCACAAGGTCACCTTTCTTGCCAAGATCAGGATGCCATCAGCAGCATGGTCTGGCCTGGGGACATTGGCTGCCTTGGCTGCCTCTGCTGCCTCCGCCACTTTAACACTCAGCAACCAGGCTGCGTGAAGCCACTCAACCTGAACGACCAAGAACTGACGCCGAGCACCTCCTCACACTCACAGGCAGCTGGGCCGCGTGACGAGTGGGCCCAAAGCTTTCGGCCCATGCAGGACCTGGGGTGGGGGCCTGTCTCTCCTACCTGGATCTCAGAATGAGCCAGTAGAAGTATTCTTTTCTGGTTATCTCCCCTATAAGAGGAAAATGAGGAGAGGAAAAAATGAAAATAAAAGTGTGGCGTAGGAGTCATTAGCATTATGCACAAGAGATGATCCTGGGAGAAAGTGCTTAGGCTCATAATCCGTTTCCAACAAAAATGCCATCAGTGAGAATATGGGGGGAAGGTGCAGGTCTGTTGGGCGGGGGAACAACTGAACATTTCACGATGAGGGTGGGTGGGGACCATGGCAGATGTGAAGGCCTAAATGTCTGCACACAGTCACGGCTGCCACAATTATTTCTCTGCTCTCTAGAAGTGTACAGCCATTCAAACTCCCATAGGAGCCCCTCCCCACTTAATATCCATGTAAATGAGCTTACCCCCTTTCCCTAGAGCCTTCTCCTTTTGTGCTAGACACACCAGCTATTGTCTTAATGAATGCCCCCCCCCCATGTTTGCACCCTGGGAGAAGACAGGTCTTAGCCCCAGCTCCCCATCACCTGAACAAGATCCTGCCACCTTCATCCTTTCCAGTTCGAATCTGCTTCTCCCCCTCAGCATCTTCTAAAACCCTAACAAAGGGTCCCAAATCAATGGCAGTCCAACTAGAATCAAGATTTGGGTGACCTCAACAGCCCCACAAAAGACCCCGGAACCAGAGAAGGAAGAGAGTGAGGTTTAAACCCTCCCCCCACCACAGCTCAGAAATCAGCCCCTGGGGGCTGCTTCCACCCCTCAGCACCCGGCCCTAGCCCACCCAGCCCACCCATCCCACCCAGCCCTCCCCGTTGCAGGCTGAGCTCCCCAGATTGAAAACAAGTTATCTAATGAAAATCGTGTTAACTGACATTCCAGCCAACCGGGAGCAAATACCAGCGCTGTAAATCTCGCTGCAGAAATTTTCTCCAGCCCAGAATAACAATAGGACCCCGCAAAGGGCTTTCGCCAGCCCTTCTGGTTCCTCTCCTCTTGTCTGCCACGTTCTTGTCATTCCTTATGTTACAGAACATCAATCATAAATAAAGACGCTGTCCCCCAGCCATGCCCGGGTCTCATTTACAAACATTAGCAGGGAATACGATTACCATTGGCCTTCGTGCCAAGCTCAATGTGGCTGCCCAACTCTCTCTCTCCCCTTCTCTCTTTCTCTCTCCCCCCCACACCCCACTCTCCCAGAGAAGCCACTTTACATCCTTTAAGGCAGCAAGCACAGCTCACCGCCCTGCCTGCCTCAGTTGGCCATCCAACTGAGCCCCAACTTGAGTGAGGACCTGGAATTGCAAGGCGTCCGCTGTTATTAACTGCATGCCTGAGTGCCCCGATTTTCTCTCCAGCTCAATGGCTTTAGGGAAGGGGGGCCTGAGGGGAGTGAGGGGGGCTGGAAAGAGGCCAGGAGGAGGGGAGTACTGAAACCACTTATCAGAAGAAACTTAACGAGATTTGCCAGCGGATTTTTTTTTTTAAGTGGGTTCCTTTTTATCTCCAGAGTGATGCTCTGGCTTTTTCCGAAAATGTCAAGGCCAAGACAGGATGCTGTAATTCCCGGTTATCAGTACCATTTCCCTGCCCCTTGTTCCCACTGTGTCTGCTCAGGCTTTGCGAGACTCCAGGGTTTGGGGGGCTTATCCTGAGAGTCCTGGGGTACCCGGGAAAGAGCAGAGGCTGGAGCTGTGCTTCCAGCAGGGGTCTCTGAGATCCCACCCCAATCCTGCCTACTAGGAGGTCAGCAGAAAACACCCCCAAATCTGGGGGAGACTCCCCAAGACAGGTGGAGGGGGGATAACTGCTGGGGTTTGGGCAGGAGCACGCTAAAGAAGGTGAGGGGAAAAGGAGAAAGGGAGAAGAAAAACAGCGGTTGGAAAGAGAAGAAAAGCAGCGGCGGGGAGGAAAAACAGGAGGGAGAAGACAGCGAGGGAATCTCCTATATAAAAGTTCCCAAGGGCGCGAGAGCCGGAGTCACCTGCTCTGCAGCGCGCTCCGGGCTCTCCACAGCCCCCGAGGCAGAAGCGCAAACTTGCGCGCGGCCCGGGCCCATCTCCGTCGCCCGTCCCCATCTAGACTTGGCAAAGGAGGGTAAAGGCAAGAAGCAAAGACGAACCCCGAGAACTCGGCCCGAGGAGAGGTCTGCCGGCGCAGGCTGCCAGTCCGGCGACGATGGCTGGGGAGGCAGCAGCGGCCCGCGGGTGACAGGGCGTCCGGGCTGCGCAGACAGGAGGGCGGCGGCGGAGGTGCCGACGGCCGGCGGGGCGCGGAGCCGCCTCTTCGCCAACCCCGGCTGCCTCCTCCTCTCTCCGACTCCTCCCTGCCCGCCAGCTCCCTCCCACCCTCACCTCAGCCCCAGCTGGGCGCAGACAGGCACGCGGCGCGCTCCGCGGCCTCCCCTGGGCAGCGAAGTTAGGAGGCTCGCAAAGTGTGGTATGAGGGGGGCTGCCGGGGGTCCCGCCGGCAGCCCCCTGCCCGAGACCCCAATCTTTGCCTTCCCCGCGCCTTGCCCGGCCGTTCGCCAGCCGGCTCAGTCCCCGGGCCGAGGGCTCACTAGCGCTTCTCCTTGGTCGCGGCGGCTAATCGATGATTGAACCGAACAAAGAGCAGCGGCGAGATCAATTCCTAATACCTATCGATGGGCAGCGGGCAGCCGAGCCCAGGCGAGCCCCCGCAAACGCCGCCCGCAGCCCCGGGGCGCCCGCCCGCCCTCCCGGAGACCTCCCCAATGCGCCCAGGGCGCGCCCGAGGGCTCCCCACGGCCGCGCGGCCGGAGCTGCCCGCACTAACCTGGAGTCGCCGTAGATCAAATCGCTTCCAATATTGAAACATCGATCCCACATTGGCGGCCATCTTGGGGGCTATTCGAGACGCACACACACAAGAGTTTGGCTTTTCTCAATGGCTGCACTCAATATCCGGGCTGGACTCCCCCCAGCCCCGGGGCCGCCGCCGGCCGCTCGGGCTCTGCGCGCCACCGCCCGGGGTCCCTCCGACGCCCCCGGGCCTCTTGCCACCCGCTGCCCCTCGGCGCCTCTGCTCTGCCGCCACCGCGGCTGCCGGGCCGGGAGCCGTGCGCCCCCCCCGACCCCCGGAGGGCGCGGGCGAAGCGCGCCGGGCGGGGAGCTCGGCGCCCGCCCGGGGGAGGTTGCCGGGATGGGGTGGGAGGGGAGGGGGGGGGGGAGGCAGCCTCTCCGAGAGGCGCCGGCGCCGCGGCTGCCCTGCCTGCAGCCGGCTCCCGGGCCCTGGAAGCGCTCGCTGCATCTCCCCCCCCCAAGTCTGGGGTCGGTGTGCCGCGCGATTGCACTTGACTTTGGCTTTTTGCAAACTTATCAATACTGACGTAACGTGCTGATCAATGCAAAGGGAAGTTTGAGAGGGTGGGCTGCGGGAGGCCAGCGCGCAGAGCGCCTACCCTCCTCCCCGCACCTGTCTACCCCCCCCACCTCCTGCATTGCATACTAAAAAGTTAATAGTTTGCATTGCATTTTTTTTCTTTTGCAATCGGAGCACACACAACACGTGCCTCGGGCTGCCGCCGCTCCTCCGTCAGCTAAGCTACAGATCAGAGGGTAGCAGCCCGAAGCTCCGACAGCGTCGACTCGCTGGTGGGCTGTAGGAGCAGATGAGCGAGCGGGTGGGAACCGCCCGGGGGCGCCACTGGGTCGTGGGAAATGTCACCACTGCCTGCACGCAGCTTCAACGCCATTATATGTATAGTTATTATTATTGGGGGGGATCCTTAGCCAGAGCTCAGGGTTCTTTGCGGGGGGGGGCGCTCTGGTGCTTTGCAATTGGGATTCCTGTTATTTGGGGGGAGTCTTTAGCCCAATTATCAGGGCTCCTTACAATTTTAAAAAGGGAGGCCCTTTTACTGTTATGACAATTAATGGAGGGGTTGTTAGAAAAACCTCTGGAGCACTTTTTCCGAAAGTGGGTTGGCTTTTACTGTTGTGAAGGGGCCCTAGCCCTGCTGCAGGGGCTCTGGATCCTTAATAACTGCAGAGGTTTCTGCTATTGCTATTTTACCATTATTACTCGGGGGTCCGTCACCTAGCCGGAGACCCCAGGTCCTTGCAGCATAGGGATTCTTATTATGACTGTCTTTTGGCAGAAGGTCTTCAACCCAGCTGGAGGGAGGTTCCTATCTTTTGCAGTTTCTCAGACGCTGGACAACAGAGTTAACCAGGTTTCTTCTACATTTTCCCTTTTCCCCTGTGCAAGCCACAGGTCCCCAGTCCCCTCCCAGCGCCCCCCCCCCACCCACCTCCCCCACACCCCCCCCCCAGGAAGAACTCACTCCCGGCCTCCTCTGTCACTAACCCATTTGCCCTCTCCATACACCCCCGGGACACTCTCCGCCTCCAGTCTGTTTCCCTGCCAAACCCTACTCCATTCGCTTCCCCACCCAAAAAAGGGGACATTTTTCCTTCTTCTTCTCTGGTTAAAAAGACTTGTTTTTATAGATAGCAAATGGAAATTATATTCCCTTTTTATGGCCTAGCTTGGACTTCTGACATCACTCTTGGTTGGGACAATAGATCAATACAGAAGGTTATAAAGAAGATAAAGTTTAGAAGAGTTGTAAAGGAGAGAGAATCCTGATGGATATTTTTGATGATTTTTCAATATTGTGTCTTGGAGCACGTGTTTCATGGCAATTAAAGTTTTTAATGTAACGTAAATAATTGTTTCATAAATACTTCAGAAGAAGGTGTGATCTTTCTGAGCAATCGCTGGTGCTGTTTAAAAACTGTAAGTGATTTAAACAAGGATGCAGTATTTCTGTTACCATCCCCATACATTTTCCATGAGGTGTGGGTAAATATATTAAAGCACAAGTTGAAAGACTCATAAGACCAAAAGTACAGCGTTCTACAAGATATAATGAATTAGGCCTAGTTAGCAATTCCGAGTGGCCTGTTTCCTTGCCAGATTAAATTGCACGTGATGTGTGGTTTATCTCAGCTCTTGATAACTTCACAGTTAAATTACAGCTCTCATTCTGCAAAATGAATTTAGGGAAATTTCATAACTCTCACGTGGCAATTTTTTTAATGGCTACATTTTCTCTTGAGCATCTGTAAAGCTTTCAGCTTCCTTGTCTTTGAGTCTGTTTTTTAAAGACCTGTAATAGGAAATGTGGAGTGAGTGTGAAACCCTTCAAAGCAATGCTTAACAAACCAAGGTTCTGATGAAAGATTATTTTAAATTTCGTCTGACTTTGAAGTCATGGAACAAATTGACATCATGTACCTCCTGATACGATGTACTGAGAGAGACACAATAACACTTCTGTAGTATTCCCGCTCAAAGTGCATAATCCAAATCTAATTGTGAAGAAACACCAGACAAACCCAAACAGAGGGGAAACTATAAAATAAATAGCATGTTCTTTTTAAAAATGTCAATTTCACATGAAACAGAGAAAGACTGAGGAGCTATTTCAGATTAACAGAAGCAAAACAGACTTGACAAGCGATTAAAACGTATGATCCGGGATTTCTTGTACTCTAGGGTGTATTCATTAAAGTCAACAACCTAATTAAAATAAAACCAATAGGTTAGATAATAGTATTGTATTAATGTTAATTTCCTGGTTTTGATGATTGTATTTTGGCTATATAACAAAATACCCTGTTTGGATAACCCACTGAAGTACTTAGGGGTAAAGGGATAGGAGTCATGTCTACAACTAACTCTCAAACAGTTCAGGCAAAAAAATAATATGCCTTTTCCTATATCTATTTATATAGAGAGAATGATGTAACAAATGTTAACATTTGAAGATTCTAGATGCATTCTACAGAGAAAGTCTTTGTACTTTCCTTGCACTAGTTCTGGGAATATCAAGTCATGTCGAAAGAAAAAGTTTGAGAAAAAATATAAATTAAATTTATGTCTGACTTTTTTAAAACTGTCACGGACTATTGGGCTCCTGAATAAAAATTCTGCATGGAAATTTTCTGCTTTCCTGACTGACACAGGCTACACCTTTGACCGAGCAGGAAATTGCCACAGCAAACATGCTTACCGAGAAGCAGCGAGAAAATCCAATAATTCAGATTGTTTTAAGTCTGTGATATTTTTAAATGACTTAATGCAGTGGGTCTCTGAAGAATTCTGACAATTTTAATGGTAGAACTTGCAGTCCCACTGAGGAATGGGTTGCTACATAAATACTGAATGATCGTGTCTTTCTGTCTGGGCTGAAACATATTAGCTTTGCTTAGTGGCTTATTGCTTTATTCACAAAATAAATTTCAGCCGTCTCTCCCCACCATATTCCAAGAGCATCAGGAGCCTGTGCCTTATTAGATGTGGGGGCTTATATTCCAAAGGCATCTGTTACCATCCAGGCTCAGCAATAATGAATTCAGCATTTGAGTGTTTACCCCCTAAACAGAGTTAGCCAGGGATATGATATTATTATGGGTGGTCCTTAATGAAAGATGGTAAACCAGGAAATTCAGGCTTTTTCAGCCAACAATCAGCTTTGGATTTGGGAACTAAGGTACTAAAATATTAAACACTTTTGTAGAAAGCTGTTTTTCATGTTCTTAGCATTCTCTCCCTGCCACAAATACACACACGCACATAGATATGCAAAAACTTAAGCAGGTTCCTGGTTGATTCTGGATTTGTAAAGACCCATGGATCAAGATGAGTATTAAAAAATTACAATGAAAAAGAATAAGTCCTCCCCGCTGAGCCAGGAGGAAGCAGAGGGCGGCCTGGGAGCCCATCCCCAAAGCTGCCCAAGCCGCCCTCTGCTGCCTCCTGGTGCAGCAGGGAGGGCTTAGACAGAAAGCCAGATCCCTTAGGAAATTCATAAACTGTGCAAGAATCCAGGGAAGATAACGGCAGGTCCTTAGCCACGAACATAATGATATGCAAAATCCCCGGCATCAAAGCTGAAACAAAAGAAAATGTCCTTCGATAGTTCTGCATTGCCCAACGCAGCTGCCAGACAGGGAGAAAGACAACTAGAGACTCCAAATTCACCAGGAAGTATTAAACGGACCTAGGAGAGGAGTAAGGGATATGGGGGTCTCTGGCAGACACCTGCAGAGGTATGCTCTGGGAGACCGGCCCATGGTTAGGTCCCAGACCCAGAGGCTAGAGTGGTTGGCTACAAGGACCAAGCCAGCAGTTCCTTACGTGCGAAACACCTGACAGTGTTGTCAACCACTACCCTTATTAAGCGCCTACTAGCTGTTGGATGCTTTACAAGTAAATCATTAGCTAAACATAGTAGTTAGGAGCATGACTCTGGAGCCAGACTGTTTCAATGCACATTCTAGCTCTGCCACTTACTAGATCTGTAAACTTGCACAAGTTGTCTTTGAGGGTTTTTTGTTTTGTTTTGTTTGTTTACCTCTCTCTGCCTTATATTCCTCATATGTACAATGGTGATAATGATTGCACAAAGTGATGAGATTTAAATGAGTTAGTCTATGCAAAGCCCTATGATAACTGCTTTATCTATTAGTTATCATGATTACTGGCCTCACAATGGACAGGACAGGGATCTGCATTCCCCTATTACAGATGTAGAGACCGAGGCCCTAAGAGAAGAAGTGGCTGGCTCATGGTCACATGGCTGCGAACCAGCAAAACCAGGACGAATGCCTGGGTTCACTCACATCAAGGATGAGGCTCCTTGCACTTGAGCATGCCCTGCTCTAATCGGGAAGAAGAATGAGCGGCAAGACAGATGCCTAGAAAGCAAGGCCTGCAGCCTGAACCACAGGCCGACACTCAACGACCAGTCTCACTGAAGAGGAAACAAGCAAGGCAAGAGGGCGGGCTCCCTCAGCCCGATCCCCTCCCAGTGTCGGAGACCAGTCAGACGTACAATCGTGCGCTCCTACTGTGCGGATTAT